GAAACCTGCGTGAGCGGTGGGACTTTGCTGTATGTATGTAAGAGACCAGGTGAGAGCTGATGGAGTGCAAGAGGCCCCGGTGAGAGGGGGGTGGTATGTGTGCAGTCTGAGAAGGCAGCATGGAAAAGACACAACTGTGTCCAGTTGAACCGGAGGTGGAATACACTGTGAGACATCAGCAAGGCATGGGACATGTATAGGGATGGTAGGAGCATGTACTGATCAACCACAGTCATTTGGACGCAAAAAGGGCAGCCTTCCGCCTATTTGATATCATAAGCACTATCAACAAGGCATGGCAGAAGAGCATGGTAGGGAGTTTGCCCGGAGACAAGGGTGGGGCCAAAATAGGACCAGGCCTGGAAGATGCCTTTGTCACACCCCCTCCCCAACAGTCTAGTCTCATTCAGTGCATAATACTGACCTATAACCCCTGACCACATAGCAATCACCATACAGAAGTAGAGCTCGAAGGCACCTCCATTGGTCATCTTGTCTAACCCCCTGCCTGAGATAGGATCATTCCAATACAAATCATCCTCTACCTCCCCAAAGAGAGAGTGGAAAAAAAACAAAGGACCAAAAGACAAAATTAAATTTGAAGAAATCCATTTCCTAATCTTTTAAATGCTTGGTTTTTTGTAACCTCTGAAACATTCACTTGGCATTTCCCTCTCAACATTCTAGATATTTGACTGTAAGCAGGAATAGTAAAACTGCTTATTAAGGTTGCCCAACATATTCAGTTATAAGCAACTGAAAACAGTTTTATCACTGCAGCACTGTTTGCTGAAATTATCCAAAAAAACACCAAAGTCACCCCAAAATACCTGATATGTACTCCCTGCACATTTGGGTATTTGGATGTTTAGCAGCTAAATTTCATCTGCACTGTGCCTGCTCCAGCTACAGGTGAAACAGATCTTACCTTGCAAATGCAGAACTATACTTAAGTGCCTTTACTGAGAGCAGAGGAAAAATCTCTGTCCTTTGCTCTTAATAAGCCCCCTGTTGGGCCCAGAAAGAATGGAGGAGGAAGCCACCATCAGGTTTGTAAGGGGAAAATAACCCAGATATGCAACAAGGTGAAGTATCATTAGGATCATAAACCACCCTGTTAAGGGTGGAAAAAGGCTGCAAGCCAGTAGAGGAAAAACTAGTTTTAGATAGGGATGAAGTCAGAACTGGAGGGATGTCAGCTATAAAAAAATCAGAGAAGGAACTGGTATGGGATAGATCATTAGGATCAGCTGGGAAAACAATATGGGACAAAGAAATGGAGGACACAGATTGGAGGACACAGCCATGAACAGGGAGAAAGCATATTTAGAGAGACTAGAGTAGAAACTAGAGTTGGAGAACTGAAGGACAGGATGAGAAACTAGGAATGGGAGAGAACAGTACCTGCTGGACAGAGGAAGCAGAGGATGGATGTGAACTGAAGGTTAGAATCCAGGGCCATGTATAGACTAAACGAGGGACATGTGTGCCTGACACTTTAAAGCCGGTTAAATGCTTTTGCATCACTTTAATGGTGTTGGTATTTGCATGCGTTGGCAGCGTATTGCACACTAATTCCAGCCACTGTAGCAAATTCAGCAATGTAACGTGCCTTAAATGACTTGGGGAAGTTTCAGTTTACTGTCCTACAGCCATGAAGCAAAGTACATGCAGCTCAGGGGCTCTGCAGGCAGCAGCCCTGGAAAGCAGGCTTCGCCCAAGAAAAAAAAAGCAGCGATTTCCTCCCCGCCTCCCCCAGCCAACCTGCCTGCCTGAGCTGCACAGGGACCCAGAGTTTCCCTCGGCATCTGTGGTGTCCCCTGGGACCACCCAAGCCAGGTGCCTGTGGGTGGGTGTCACCTGGGGGGGTGGCGCTGCTGCCGCCGTAGAGGGAAGCAACAGACCCCCCCCGGGGGCCACTCCACCCGCTAGCAGCTCCCCCTCCCCGCCACCGGAGAGGCAGGTAAGAAGGTATGTGCACAACATCGGGATTTAAAGGGCCCTAAAATGAAGCAGTGTTTTTTAAAAACCCACCGCTTCAATTTAGGGCCCCTGTTTTGTCTACACATGCCCCTAAGACTAGAAACCAGGGTGAGGAAGACAGTCAGAATTTGAACAGATGGGAGAGGGTGGAGTAGAAGGGGTCAAATCAGGGAAAGGCAGTAGAATATTCTACCCACTAGACTTTAGACTGAAGGCCAATATGTTATTTTCAGTCTCACTATACTACTGGTGAAGTGTGTGCCATTCATTTCTACTTTTGATGCATACAGCTTACAAATTCTAATCAACTACTCCATTTGGGCAAATGACAGAGGTCTGCATGGTGGATCTAAAGGTTCCAACTCTGCTAATGAATCATGCAGGCATTGATATGATGGGACATTATGGAACTAAACCACTCCCCCCACACATGGCAAAGTGAAGGAAAGAACCACAGTCATTGCTAGTCTTAGGGGAGTCTTCTCAGGACGCCGCATACTAACATTTCTAGTCTAGAGTGTATCAAGAAACATGCTGGAAATTTAAGGCAAGTTTCTAGCATTGCTTGGCAGAGAATTAGCTCTATAAACAAAAATATTTAGTGTATTTTTAGAAACAAAAATGCCATAGCATTCACTTGTTCATAAGTATACAGTTACACAATAAAATAAATAGTACTTTACCTTCAAAAAAGTTTTCAAATTCCAAAAACTTGGAACAGATTAATCCATGTTCTTGAAAGCCCATACCAAAGAGTAACTGATTTTGTTGGGAAAAATCACTTAGTCCTTTGCAATGTCCATCTTGTCCAAAATGTGTCAATGAACTAGCAAGTACAGTAAAATCTCTGGTATCCAGTACTTAACCATCCAGAATACTCCATTAACTGGAGATTCCAGCCAGCTAGACGTGAACGGGGTAGGGGTGGAAATGGAAGCTCACGTGGCAGCTCCTGCTGCCACCCACTACCCTGTACTGCCGCTGCTCCATGTGCGGCTGCCGCCACAACCCACCTCGCCCCACCCTGCTCTGCGGGCTGGACGGGTAAAGCATGCACGGGGCGGTCACCGCCACCACCCACCACCCTGAGCTGGCGCCGCTCCATGTGCAGCCACTCTGGATAACAGAGATTTTACTGTATTATGATGCTCAGCCTGAAAGCTGACTTTACATGAAAGCTAGAACCCACTTTTAACAAATGAAAAGACATGAGAGGTAGGGGTTGAGCGCAGCAATACATCTTGAGAGTTACAACTGGCGGCACTACACAAGGGTGAGGAAGGAAACTGTGCTCCTTGCTCAAACAGACTAAAACCACATTTCTAGAACACCAAAGAAAGCTGGAAAGATTCAACCATTATGTTGGGAAAAGTCAGCAGAACCATAATTATCTTGGCAAACTACATTAGATCAATAGGAGGAGATTCTATGTTATGCAAAAAAGAGAACAATACTCTGAGGCAAAGTGAGCATAGCAACCTCCACTTCTGAGGTGCCTTAGTAATCCCTATTACAATTTGTATTAGAGTACACTCACTTGAATTCTGAGGAGTGATTGTCCAGCAAACCAAGTTTGTTCAGTTCCTCATCGATCACATCCATAACAAGTTTTGGTACTACTAGATCTTTTAGCCGTTCTCGAAATTTCTCTTCTATAGCATCCTTGTCCTCCTCCTCTAGACCCAGTTCTTTCTTAATAATCTTCAGCTGCTCTTGAAGAAGGTACTTGCGATGAGTCTGTTTGATTTTCTCCTCAACCTCTCGTCCAATGAGGGTAATACTGTTTTCCCACTCTAGTTGTTTCTTTTAAAAGTTAAATCACTTTTGCTCAAAAAGAAAATGGAGAATGATTCTAAAAATAGCGTGTACAAAATTGCCATCTGGAATTACTCTACAATATGTAAGAGGCGATTCCAGCCCTTCATTTATACAAAATCCAAGTGAACGTGTATATTCTTTCCACTTTCTACATTTATTTTTTCATTCTTTCATTTTCTCTTTCAGCAACTGCTTATTCTCTATTTATTTTCTATGTATATTAAAAATGAAGCTGCTCTTGAAGAAGGTACTTGCGATGAGTCTGTTTGATTTTCTCCTCAACCTAAGCAAAGAAATTATCAGAGTAACTTTAATTTGTTCCAGCAGTCAAACATCTCATACTTTCATCTCTTCCTAAAGGGAAGAATTTGAAATACACCTTGGAATCTCTCACTTACAGTATGATTCTACTAGGGGTGCACCAATAGAGATTTTGGGGGCCGATACCAATAGTCGATTTTTAAGGAGGCATATCGGCCGATATGATACAATTTCCAACACAGCTGTGTCCAGCTAGTAAGTCTGTTGTGGTGGAAGGGGAGGGGAGGGGAGGGGACAGATCAACCCCTCCTGCGGTGAGGGAGGGAATGGGGCTGGGGTAGGTGCTATCCAGCCGGGGTGGGGCAGGGAAGGGCAGGTGGCTGTCGCTGCTGCATGCACCCTGCGAGGGCATGGGCCCCTGAATCTGTGTTGGGTGGGGCAGGGCTGGCTGCAGCCATGGGCTGGGGCCAGGGCTGCGCTGGGCTCTTTGCAGGGGGGGCCTGGGCAGGGCTGCACTTGGGGTGTGGGGAGGCAGGGTTGGGGGAGCTACAGTGAAATTTGTGGTGGCTGCAGCCCCTCCCCCCTGCAGTAGACCCCCTCCTAGCACTGCCACCACCTGCCCCAAACACAGCCCGGACCCAACCCCAGCCCACAGCTGCAGCCTGCCCTGCCCCATGCAGATTCAGGGGCATGTGCCCCCCCCCATGCCCTCCAGGGGTGCATGCAGTGGCAGGAGCCATGCCCCCTGGACGAGCTGCGGCTCTGTCCCACGCCCTGCTCCATCCAGGCTGGGCAGAGTGTGTCCCAGCCTCAACTCCCTCCCTCACCGTGGGGGGCATTGAGCTGTCCCCCCTCAGGCCCCTTCCTTCCCCCTCCCGTTCCGCCACAGCAGACTTACTAGCTGCACGCAGCTCTCCAAGCTGCCAGGCTTTGCTCCTCACTGCCTGCAGCTGCAGCACAGACTACACGCATGCACGGGCATTTATCAGCCACATTAGGCCAATTTCCAATACAGTCAATTTTCTTTATATCGGTGGCAATCCAATATCGGACCAATGTCTTGGTGCACCTCTAGATTCTACTCTAAGAAACAATTTTGATAAAAGCACTGTGGGATCTTATTATTTTGTTTCAATCATTTCTTTATGATATAGGTTCAGTTTATAAGAAACAAAATATAATTATTAAAGCTGCAGACCTACTTGAAAGATGGACTTTAAGGTGCAGCAAGATTTATGCACCATCTGGAGCTACACATTAGGGACAAAACCTATCATCTTCAGAGGCAGGCACAAGAGTGACTGGGCAGTACTTAGGCCCCAATCCTGCAAACGTATAAATCTCTGAATCATTTCATAGACCAAACACAGAACTGCATTCATTTAAAATTATATTTAGTGCTTGGTCCTAAGTGTGTCATCCCTGATGCAGGGGTGTAGGTTGTAGCCGTGTTGGTCTAAGGACATAGGCAGACAAGGTTCCTTGGGTGAATTTGATATATTTTATTAGACCAACCCAAATAGTTGGAGAATAGTTATTAAGCAAGCTTTCGGGTTCAAAAACCCTTCGTCAGGCTAAGGAAGTTTCAGCAGTCGGTGTGTGCTCTTCCTGGATGGAATGAAAAGTAAAGAAGCCAGGGGCTGGGCTGGGGAGCAACAGTCACCATCCCTCCATCC